CACATCGCAGCTTACCTCCTCTCGCCTTTGGTGGAAACACCCTCCCCCTCCGCTAATGATATCAAGAGCGTTCTCAGTTCCGTCGGAATCGATGCTGACTCTGAGCGCCTCGAGAAGCTCCTTGCTGAGCTTGAAGGGAAAAATATTACCGAGGTCCGTTTATATTAGCCTAGCAATACATTTCCGTTGATAACTCTACTGCTGGATGAAATTACTGATACCAACTTGTTTCTCGTCATTTAGTTAATCGCTGAGGGCACCACCAAGCTCGCCTCAGTCCCATCTGGTGGTGCTGCATCTGCCCCTGCTGCAGGCGGCGCCGCTGCTGGTGGTGCGGCTGCTGCCGCTGAGAAAGCCGAGGAGAAGGAGGAGGAGAAGGAGGAGTCTGATGAGGACATGGGCTTCGGTCTCTTCGACTAAATTAAGTGATATGTGAATCCCTCGTTTTGCGAGGGGGCGGTCAACCGAATGCGATGCTTCAATGGCAGCTTTGGAACAGCGAAACGTATCAGCCTGGCAATCATAGTTGTAAATACATGACAGCTGGGGCTGGGGCGTGTGTCGAGTTTGTGTCGACCAGCTTTTTGATGACACCCATGACGGAAGGATTGATGTATTTCTAATCACAAGATTCTACAAATCGAAAGACCTGTTCTTCCAGTAATGTATGAACTCCTTGCTGAACCGGGGATCAAGCGGTAGTCTGTAGTGCCTTCAGCAATACCAGTCTACGATTAAACTGCCAACCAACTTCGTCCAACAATTAGTACGAGTAATGAGTCCTACTTTTTAAGTTAACCCTGAGATGCGTAAATTTCCTAATTTGGCAATGTCCAGAGAATCCTAGCCCTGGTGGAGACTAGTCTTAATAAGGCGAGTTAGGGCACAAAACCTTAGCGCCATCGCTTAGCCGAGCATCCTCTGCCACGCCCTCAAACTCCTTCGCTGGCACACCGAACGACGAACGACTGATTCAGCGCGACAACATTCACCCATCGCTTTTCGAACGGCACTCGGAAAGCGACTTAAGAGGGACATTTGCAATCATGGCTGACATCGAATACGTGAGTGCTTCTCTTACTCGTTCACCGTTGAGTGTGTGGATTATCATATACTGATTTGTCTACGTGACGTTTAGAACGCCGACGAGGCTGCTGGTACGTGCTATTATCTATTACATTACCCTGTTGTGTATTTGTGGTTTTTCCGCAGTGGATTTGTGTGGGAAACATTAGGGGAAGAAATATCCTGATTGCGATCAAACAAATGGGGTTCAACATTAGTAGATGATGAAAACAGCGAGGGGCAACGACATTTTGGAGATGAATTTTTGGATGGGAAGAATAAAAAATGGCATATAAAATGACGATCAAATTTGGCTGACAGACTATTCCTATCGAAACAGAGCTTAAGAAAAAGAGAGCGTTTCGCAAGTTTTCTTACCGAGGAATCGACCTCAACCAGTACGTCCATCCTGCATATACTCCAAAAGAAGGACGAATGAACCTACCCTCCCCCTTTTTTCGCGGAAAAAAACTTTGAAAACTAGCCATTCTAATCGATGCATCGCCCCAAAACCACAGACTCCTTGACCTCTCCTCCGAACAGCTACGCGATGTCGTCCACGCCCGTGCCCGCCGCCGGTTCAATCGTGGCCTAAAGCGCAAGCCCATGGGCCTGATCAAGAAGCTCCGCAAAGCCAAGCAAGAGGCCAAGCCCAACGAGAAGCCCGACCTCGTCAAGACTCACCTCCGTGACATGATCGTGGTCCCAGAAATGATTGGCAGCATCATCGGTATCTACTCCGGAAAAGAATTCAACCAGGTGGAAATCAAGCCCGAGATGGTTGGCCACTATCTTGGTGAATTCTCGATCTCATAGTATGTTTTAGCTTTTCTCGATCTACATTATTGCATAACGCCCGTTTTGTATCTTGATTTGCAATATATCTGGCGATACTGATTGTCTCCTTTAGCAAACCCGTCAAGCACGGGAGACCGGGTATTGGTGCTACTCATTCCTCGCGTTTCATTCCCCTTAAATAAACTAAACAATCAAATATGTTTTTCTTTCGTCGCTACTCGGGTCAGGGTTTCCATTGTTTTTAGCTTTGTTTTTGGTAATCTTCATATCTGCGGGCTATGGAGAGGGTTATAGTTGCTCAAAGAGACGCATCAAATTCCCACTCTCTGTTTTTTTAGCTAAAAAACGTTTTATATGATGATAGCTGAAAACTAATGTCATGTCCCTATCTAAAAATGATTGCCAATTTGGTTTCTGGTGTATTTCAAGGTATCCTTTTATATTTGCCATTCGTAGGCAATTGGTTCGTACTGCACGACTGCGATCCGGCTATCTTATCCCATGAAAAATTTACAATCGTCAATCCTCATGGATTGGACGGGACGTACTAAATATTTACATCATTTACAGCTCTTGGAGAACGTACCTGGTAGATTCATTTCAGGATTGGATAGTAATCGACGTATCCAGGGTTCCGCCCTTCTTCGCCTCTTTTCGCAATATAAACTGGGCCGAAACCTTGAGCATTGACACTTTACACTCCTGTATAACCCGGAGGATTTTGAATCCATACACGCTGTATGCGGTTGATGAGCCGACATGGTGTGTATCTTGATGATGCTTGACGTCAAGGATTGGCAACAATTCCGTCATAACTCACGTGGCTCGGGTATGTATAAACAATACCATCAAACGTTACTCTTTCCATGCTTCGAGCGGGAGCCCTTCCAAAGATAAATCAATTGAGACTTTTAACGCACAGAGTAATATATTATCATATAACTTCATATAAAAAACGGCTTGGACATCTGCGTGAATCCAATGTGGAAGGCCGACGATCGCGCAACCCAAACTCAAATCATGTCCAGCCCTTCGAAGAAGCTGCTCGCCAACGTGCGCAGGATTATCCCGCCCATGCTGGAGAGGTTTCATAAAGGTAAGTTCTGCCGATGAGAGTGGGAGGTTTCTTCTTCTTTTTTGTCATTTCCGGTGGCGCGGTGCCTCTGGGCGGCTAGCTAGAGCATTGTGGGATCATAGTAGGCTTGGAAATCATTGACTGATACTACTTATATATACATCCCTTTACTTGCTATGCCAGGTCTTGAAGTGGACGAACATCATATTTTGCGAAGTGATAGACTGACGGTGCGAAACAGGACAACTTGGCCGAGTCGCAGTTATAGGAGGCAGTGCAGAGTGTGTATTCCAACCACTATGTTGCCTTCTTCCTCATGCTCCCCAATGTATCACATCTACTTTAATTTGAGATGGGAGACATATTGTTCGCCTGCATACGTTTAAGTGTTTTCACAGTCCATTAGTTCCTATGGGCAGTGAACCAGCAAGTCTCTGTTCTGAAGACACTGTGTGTCATGTCGTTTTCCTCCCATCTTCTATTTTGATAACATGGATATTTTATTTAGGGAAATTTGTCCAATTTATTATAAGAATAGGTCAGAGGTGCTGACGCCTTGCCTAACACCGTAGCTATACAGGCGCCCCATATTTCTCTGCAATGGCATCTGCAAGGCTTGGTGCGGCTCCAGTTAACCATATTATTCCCCTATTCATTTTCAACAAGTTCGAATATCATCTATTGGAGTAACTAACCCAATTCTTGTTAACTCGACCATATAGGCTGTGACATGGTAAGTCAGATAAGGCACTATTCCTACAAATTTCCTATGCTCACTCTAACATAAAATAATGTAGAGTCATGTTATCTGTGAACCATCCTCAGCAACAGTACGTTTCCTCGCCCACTTTCTTACCCTAACCAATAATCCCCTATATGTCACTTGTCTAACAATCCTCAGGTAATAAAGTCTTACTCCCCAAATCTAATGGTCCACCCAATCCTCCAATCCTCCAACACCCTCTCCTCAATCTCCAACAGCCCGCTCCCACACCCACACGCCCGCGCTCTCGCAGAGCCTGTACTTTCCTTCCTATCCCGTCTGCATGTACTCGTCATCGGCCCTGGCCTCGGACGGGATCCAGTGACGCAAGAAATAGTCATCGAAATCATCAAAGAAGCACGCTCAAGAGAAATCCCTATAATTCTGGACGCGGACGCGCTGCTTCTCGTCCAGGAGCATCCAGACCTCATCCGTGGCTACGCAGAATGCATCTTGACGCCCAACGTTGTGGAATTCGCGCGGCTCGCGAAGGCGTTGCGTGCAGATGTGTCTTCCATGCCAGATAGTGATGCTGGCAAGTCTGAGGCCTGCAAGCGGCTATCTAATGCTCTCGGTGGCGTGACGATCATTCAAAAGGGGCGGCATGATACTATTTCTAATGGGATGGCTAATATCGTATGTGATGTGCGGGGTGGGTTGAAGAGGAGCGGCGGTCAGGGCGACACGTTGACGGGGTCGTTGGGGACGCTACTTGCATGGCGCAAGGCATATCATGAGGGGTTGTGGGATACCGGTGAGTCTGAAGCGGGTGGTGGGAGGGAGCTATCCCGACATGATGTCGAGGAGGATCTTTCGATTTGTGG